TCCCTACACCACGCATAATGCCAACCACGATGTTGTCACCTGTGTCATTGAGGCTGATGTCCCAAACCTTCTCAGCGCTTGGGCTCTTGGGACCTTATGACTGAAGGCTAGTGGCGATGTTTCTATTCTGTGTCTCCTACGGCCCCCTTCTCTCCACCTATACAGCGTCTGGCCTCAGCACTGTTCTGTCCCCCGGCACATCGCCTCTTCCCTGGGTTTGATATCTGCCGTCCATCAGCTGCGTCCGGATCCTGGTACTGCTGGGTCCTACCAGGCTCCACTCTTCGCTGTAGACTTCCTCTGCCCACGCTGACCCCGTAGGTAAATCCTTGGGCCCTCTCTGGCCCTGCGTTCTTGGAGGGACCCCCTCCTGGGGTACCCACCAAGTTCCCTTGCTGGGACCTCTCGTGCGCTCTAGCCCCTCTGGGTCAGCTGGGGACTCTACTTCCAGTCCCCGTCGCTGGTCTTCTGCCGGATCTTTTATTCTGGCCCTGGACATCTAACCGGCCAATTGGCCCCGTCATGCTCTTATAAAACATGCCCAGGCAGACGCGGGAGCTGTTCCCAGCTCCTCTTAGTTCGTTCATTTTTTTTCTCTTTGATGTTCACTCTGTCTGCTGCGGTTTCACTTTTGCCGTGCTTGTCTCCCAGCACGGCATCCCTCCACCTCCATGTTTTATCCAGTAAGTCTTTTTCACACAGACATACAAACCACTCCAGTAAGATGTTATAGTTACCAGCAGATGTTACTCAATATTAGCACTGGATGCCCGGGTCCAGGCTTATTGAGGATATTGTGGCATGTGGTTGGAGCTTTAAATAATTAGTTTGAATCTAATTTAGAATATTTCAATATGAATTTCATAGTTTCATAGTTGGTAGGGTTGGAAGGGACCTGAGCAGATCATCAAGTCCAACCCCCTGCCATGGCAGGAAAAAGTACTGGGGTCAAACGACCCCAGCAAGGTGTTTTCCTAACCTCCTCTTAAAGACCCCCAGGGTAGTGGCCAGCACCACTTTGCTTGGAAGTTGCTTGGAAGTTCCAGATCCTAGCCACCCCTGACTGTGAAGTAGAGCCTCCTGATGTCTAGTCTGAATCTACCCTCTGCCAGCTTGTGACCGTTATTTCTTGTCACTCCTGGTAGTGCTCAGGGGAACAGGGACTCCCCCAATCCCTGCTGGTCCCCTCTGACTAGTTTGTAACAGGCCACTAGATCCCCCTCAGTCTTCTCTTGTGGAGGCTGAACAGGTTCAGGGCCCTTAGCTTCTTGTACAGCCTGCCCTGCTGCCCCTGATCATGTGAGTGGCCCTCCTCTCGTCACTCCCAATGTTGTCCACATCCCTCCTGAAGTGCAGCGCCCAGAACTGGACGCAGTACTCCAACTGCGGCCTGACTAGTGTTGCATAGAGGGGGAGGATCACCTCCTTGGACCTGCTCGAGATGCATCTGTGGATGCATGACAAGGTACGGTTGGCCTTCCTGACCGCGTCCCCACACTGCCGGCCCATGTTCATTTTGGCATCAATAATGATTCCAAGATCCTTTTCTGCCTCTGCACTGACGAGAAGGGAGTTCCCCAGCCTGTAGGTATGCTGCTGGTTCTTCCTCCCCAGGTGCAGCACCTTGCACTTGTCAGCGTTGAAACCCATCCTGTTCTTATCTGCCCACCCCTGTAACCTGTCTAGGTCCGATTGCAGCCTATTCCTCCCTTTTAGTGTGCCCACATCCCCCCACATCTTAGTATCGTCAGCAAATTTGAACAGGGTGCTCTTTACCCCCTCATCCAAGTCACTGATGAAGATGTTGAACAGTGCGGGTCCGAGGACCGAGCCCTGGGGGACCCCACTGCCCACTTCCCCCCAAGTCGAAAATGACCCATCCACCACCACTCTCTGGGTGCGGCCATCCAGCCAGTTAGTGACCCATTTGACTGTGTAGGTGTCGACACCACAGTCCCCTAGTTTTTTAATGAGAACGGGGTGAGAGGCAATGTCGAAGGCCTTCCTGAAGTCCAGAAAGACTACATTCACTGCTACCCCTGAGTCTAAGGATTTTGTGACCTGGTCGTAGAAGGCCACCAGGCTGGTCTGATAGGACCTGCCTCTAATGAACCCATGTTGTTTGCCCCTAAGCATAACCTCCCCTGCTGGCCCCTTGTGGACATGCGCCAGGATAATTTAATGATTTGATCTCTGTCTTCTATGAAGTAGCTGCTTGACTCCATTTTGTAGTGCTCCTGGCTTGCCACAAGTGAATGAACTTTGTATGCCCTGGGCATGAGAGAAGTATGGGTGAAGGGGTGAGTGAAAAGTGAATTGGAGTTTTGGATGAGAACAAGGAAAAGGACGTAACTGTTTATGTTAGCAACAAGGCGCCAGATGTGTAAATTACCAGCCAGTAACTAAATAACAAACGGCTGAAGAATCCGTTTGAAGCCCGGGGGCATGAAGGAGATAACGGAGGAAGGAATACTGCCATATGGGCAACAAGAACACTTCAAGGCTGAGACCCATTTTTACAACCAGGATAACCTCATAGTTTCATAGTAGGTAGGGTTGGAAGGAACCTGAGCAGATTATCAAGTCCGACCCTCCTGCCATGGGCAGGAAAGAATGCTGGGGTCAAATGACCCCAGCAAGGTGTCTATCTAGCCTCCTTTTGAAGACCCCCAGGGTAGAGGTGAGCACCACTTCCCTTGGAAGTTGGTTCCAGATCCTAGCCGCCCTGACTGTGAAGTAGTGCCTCCTGATATCTAGCCTGAATCTACTCTCCATCAACTCATGGCCGTTGTTCCTTGTTACCCCTGGTAGTGGTCAGGGGAACCGGGACTCTCCCATTGCCTACCGGTCCCCCTTGGCAAGTTTATAGGCGGGCCCCAGATCCCCTCTC